GCCACCGGGTCTGGGGCTTGATCTGTGGTCGGCTACATGGGAGTCCAGCAACAAAGCCATTACGCCAACTGCCAGTCCCAGTCTTGGGTTCATTTTATAATTACTTGTTTCCTTGTCTGTCTGTTCTGCTTGACTGTAAACTCCTTTCTATCACAGACTTAATCTTACTCATCCTGGTAAGCTCACATTGCGCTTGGCATCCTTTGGCTACTCTTCTAGAGAGTTGATGAGTAGATGAATACGTGCAATTTTTTTTTAAAAAAGCTTTTATTTTATTTTTTTATTATCAGAGGGAACATGGATGGACTTGCCAGAGAGAGGGAGAGAGAGAAGAAGCACCTCAAATGGGGCATGTTCATGCCACAACTCTCTTCCCTCCATTTCTCCATCCTGTCAGAAGCCTGGGTACGTGTATATACACGTATAGCTCCAGCATGTCTCTCAAGCTGCTGGGGACAGGATTTGAATTCCCGTAGGCCATGTAGGATCTGACTTCCTTTGTACTGTGGTTAACCACTTAGCTACAGGGCTGGCCCAATAAATGCAAATTTTATTTCCATTATTTTGAAGGCCTTTTCTTTCTATGGTCTATTCCTTCATTGGATTTCATATAATAGGGACATAGACGTAGAAATTAGCCACAAAAAATTTTGGTTATGGAGTGTGACTTTAGAAGGTTTGTGGACAATAGAATTAAAGTATGAGTTTATTTTGATAGAAAAAAATTTAAAATTCATATACAGTTTCCCATAATATGCTTTTCCCATGAGCTTTTTGTTTTTGTTTTTTTTTTTTGAGAGGTTTTTGCGATACGGCGCGTGCGCTAGACAGACAGAGACAGAGAGACAGAGAGACAGAAAGCAAGAAATTGCCCCCCCTGGGGGGATGGCCACGCCCCGCAATCTCTTCTCCTCCATTCTCCTCTCGGGATCTTGGACACACACACACACACACACACACACACACACACACGCACCCGGCGTGAGTTTTAAGCCACTGGGTCCAGGACGTGAACCACAGTTGACTACATGGGAGTCTAGCGACATAGCCATTACACTAACTGCTGGTTCCTCCCATGAGCTTTTTAAAGACCCCTCGTAATTTTATACACACTGATGTACACTCAGTGACACACACTGACTAGTAGGTTGGTCCGATTGTGCATCTGTGAATGCTGTTTTAAAATATGTTATTGCTAGAAATAAAAATATAAAAAGTTGAACAGTAAAACTCAAGTATGCCCTTGATTTGTACTGTGGCCCTTTGACTTCCTGTGACTTATCCCAGGGTGTGGCTGGAAAATATTTTGGCATTGCTTTAACTTTATTAGTTAACTAGCATCCACTAATAAGCCAGGAAGACAGAGCTAATTGTGTGACAGGCAGCAGGTGTTACACTAGGAAGTTGGGCTCAGTGAGTAATTGTAATTGAAGTTGAATGTAATTATGTGATTCTGAGGTGTTCACATATAATTCCATTTAAGTTCCATCTTGAAACTAAAGCAGTAGGGAAGAATATGGACAAAAGGAAACTAGGCACAAAGATGCCCTTCACTCATGTTTGAGTTGTGTCCGAATCCCCTGGTTATGATAGAAAGAGCTGGATGGCCCTAAAGAGACTGGAGTCCCTCTAGAGACTGTGCAGTTTGGGTGTTCTCACTTTATCTCTGTCCTCCTTTTCACTTACACCCTTCTCTCCCCCACTCATCCCTGCCTTCAGTTCCCTATTGCGTTTTGTTACGTGTGGTCTCCACACACCAGCCCATGCTGTTTTCCATTTGGGATTGTCTTGTTTTTTCTCGATCCATTTCGTTCTGACTTGGTTTGAGGACTCAGCCTACAGCCCGTAGCGGCAGGAAGCCTTTTAGGATCTCCAGTCTGATTTAGATGCTCCTCCTTTTCTCTAGCCTCTTGATTATGGCACATTCCTTTTCGACTTATAACGGTGGGGTTGCCGGTCCTTTCTGCTGTTTGTCTTTTGTTCTTTAAGGTTTATTTATTTATTCCATGTTCGAGCAAGAGAGAGTGAGTTCACACTTCCCACGGGATCCTGATGCTGTGATCCACCCCATCTTCAAGCCAGCCCGGGATCATGCCTGGTGTATTCAGGGAGGTCTTTGAAAGTGAGCCCAGAACCTTTTCGTGCGGGTCAGCTCTGCAGCATGTTACGTTTTACTGCTGCACGAGGTCTCGGCCTCTGCTAGTCTAGTTAAGAGCTGAGATGGTCTTCCTTGCTCGGTTAATGAATCAATTAGAGTTACTAGATTTTTCTAATTGTTCTGTAGAAATAGGTGCCAAAAACCCTAAAAAATTTGGGCTTTTTCTTAGCTACGTATAAAACTTTTAAAAAGTTCCAAGTATATGGTATACCTAAGGGTACTTACTTACAAAAAATTTATAACTTTTGTTTTCTTTTTCATTCAAACTTCAGTCAGTCTTAAACCCACACAGCTTTAGGTGTGGCTTTGTGGAGTCAGATTATGGATGTGAATCTGTTGTTGCCATTAATTGTGGGATTTTAGGTAGGTTGTTCTTCATTAACTTGGATTTCCACTGTTATAAATTTTAGGAATATAAAAATTTTTATATTGTGGTGGGAATTAAATGAAGTGATACATGCTGGCTAAGCTCTGGCATGGTACCTTCCTGAAAATAGCACTGATTTTCTCACCCTGGTTATTTATGAACCCATAGAGTTCACAGAATTGCCAGTAGTTCTGTATTCTCCAAGCAGATAAGAGACTCGAGCTGGAGGAATTACAAATTAGTGACATTGTACCACTGTTTATGACTGTCTGTTGTGGGACCTGCCTGAGTCTCAGCTTCCTGAGCCTTTGAATTGGCCTCCCTGAGCCATATTTCAATCTGAATGGTTCAGTGAGCTCCTCTACAAGGAAACCCAGTAATGCAGTCAACACCAGTCATGTTTCTTCTGGTTTCTTCTAGACCAGGGGAGAACAGATGCCAATAGACTCTCTAAAAAGTTTTGATATGAACTCCATGGGAATAAGTTTGTAAACAATATGGACAAGCAGAAAACTGTCTAAGAATGCTGGTTGGGCTCATGCGATAATGTTGCTTGTAAGCAACTGGAAAATCATCGAAGTCAGCAAGCTGCACTGCCTGGGAAATGAGCAGGATCATTGGGGAGGGGACCAGGTGTGACCTGTATGTGCTATGCACATGCACATAAATTCAAGGCTCGGCTGTGTGATGTGTGGGGAGGATGCTTGCTTTCATCACGTTTGTTTTGTTTTAGTCACTAACGACATGACTACTGGCAAGTCAGGTTTTAGGCTTCAGAGCTTTCTTGCTTGCTCTGGAAAATGCATCAACAGCCTTTCCTGAAAAGGTGCTCTGTGGCCTTCTTACCTGGAGTCTGATGTAGCACTGTGTGTAGTGTATAAAGAATGCTAATGACATGCTTTTGAGTGAATGAAAATGGATGTTTCAAAATGGTAGTTATGGGACCAACAGATAGCAAAATGCTTACATTGCTGGACTGTTATGTAGCCAACGGCAGTTCAAGTCCCAGACCCGGCGGCTTAAACTCATGCCATGCACATGTGCGTGTGTGCCCAAAATTCTGAGAGGAGGATGGAGAAAGAAGGAATTGTACAGTGGCTCCCCCCCCCCCAGGGGGGTCTTCTCACCTTATGTCTCTCCGTTCTCTCTCTCCTCAGTGAGCATACTGGCCCTATAACAAAAATCTCTCTCTCTCTCGCAAAAAAAAAAAAAGGTAGTTACAACTATGGTGACTGAATAAAGATAACAAAATACTTTTAAATTTAATATATAGTAATGTTTTCTCATTTTGCAGATGGAATATTTTACATTGGTAAAATGTTTTAGTCAAGTTAAACTTCAAATATCCAAATACCCTTTAAGCAGCAGATATAATCGAATATAATTTTACCTTTACTTGATGAACTTGATTATTTTAAATATCTTTTTCTGATTTTTTTTTTCGTGAGGGAGTATTTGACCCAGTTTAGCTTTCCTCATGTATGCTGTTGTTTCTTATTTAAAAACAAATTATTTTAAAATTTCATTTATCATTATTGCTATTGTTAAATTTTGCAGTAGTGCACATGTGCTCACTAGAGAGAGAGAGAGGGTGGGAGGAAGGGAGGGAGGGAAAGCAAGGAAGCAAGCTGCCAGGTCCGGAATGCGACTTGCAGTTGGCCATATGGGAGTCCAGTGCCTTACCCACCATGCCACCTGCTGGCCCTTTGTTTCTTCTTCTTAATGTCACACTGCCACCTGCCATTTCTGCCAACACAGTTCTTATTCAGACAACTTGTCTTTTAATTCATCCATCGGTTGTTTACTGCCAGTATTTTTCTTTAGGTCGAGAAGCCAGTTATCAAGTATGGAAAGATTTCTGTGGTAAACAAAGACAAGATTCCGAGTGTGAGCGCATGGCATGTTGGTCCTACATCACAACTATTTTCCATGTACTTCGTGCTTGGGATCCTCTTCTAAAAGATGGCAAATTTTTTTAAAGAATTATTTATTTAAGTTTATTTATTATTACTTTTTTTTTTTTTTTTTTGACCAGAAAAAGACAGAGAGGTGGAAAGTGAGACAGCAAGTCACCACGTCCTGGACTTGAACTGCAGTTGGCCATTTGAGTGTCTAGGGCCCTAACTATCATGCCACCTGCTGGCCTCAAGATGGCAGTTTTGTAGAAAAAATATGTATTTATTTTTATTTATTCATCCATTTATTTTAATTTAAGAGAGAGTAAGACAGAGAGAGAGAGGGAGAGAGAGGGGAAGTGAGAAAGCAAGCCACCAGGTCTAGGGCTCGAACTGTGGTTGGCCGTGTGGTGGGCCCAGCACCTTAATCACCATGCCATCTGCTGGCTCCAAGATGACAGTTTTTAAAGTCAATTTCAATTTTAGAAAAGTAGAATTTACTGTAATATTTTTGCATAAACTGTTCAATAGGTTTATTATGGGTATCATTTACATTTTTTTCTCTCTGCTTTGTAAATAGTCAAAATTTGCTGTGCGATGTCACAATTGTGGCAGAAGACATGGAGATCTCTGCGCATAGAGTGGTGCTGGCTGCCTGTAGTCCTTATTTCCACGCCATGTTTACAGGTATGGAATATTTTAGCATGGCTGTTTTTTTCTTCCACGTTGACAGAGCTGAGCTTTCCCTTCGGTATTTTCTTTTGATATTAACATTTCACTGTTACAAAATGAAGAACTGTAATATAAGAAAATGTTCCCGCTTTGTTCTAAATACCGTTTTCTCTTTGTTTTTCAGTGTTCTGATGAGTAAACATATACATACACAGGCTCACAGTTTTGTTTTCAGCTTTCCTCCTTTACATTTATATTTACATATGTTCATTCCATTTGCCTTTCTGCCACTTATTATAACAGCTTTTTGGCACATTACTATTTTGGCAAAAGAAAAGCACTATTACCATTTTACATGTCTTTCAAATGATTTTCACATTTGCTTCATCTAGTGTTTACAGTGAACAAAAGGTGTTTGTTTAATATCCTTTATTTGGAAATATAAGAAAATTTGGTGGTTTATTCACAAGCTTAGATTTTTGCTTTGGCAACTATAAAAATATATAGAACTACTTTAGTACTTCTGGAAAAGAAGTAATCTATGTCTGTCACACTTGAAGCCTTAAGGGTGAGAAAACAAGTTGCCAGATCTCAGACTTGAACTGCAATCGGTTATGTGGGAGTCCAGCGACCTTAACCACCATGCCACCTGCCGGCCCCACCTAGTTCTTTTTAAATTTGTCAGAGTCACTGAGGGGAAAGAGATAGAAACAGAGAGAGAAAGCAAGAAAGCATCCCCACCATGGGGAATGGTCACGCTGCAGTCCCTTTTCTTTGATTTCTCTCTCCTTTCGGGACTTTGGGCATGCGTGCATGCATATGTGCTTGGCATGTTTTCCAAGCTGCCATGTCTGGGACTTGAGCGACATAGTCAGCTATGTGGGATCTAGCCACCTTAACCACCATGCCACTGTCTGGCTCCTTGAGTGCTTTTCTAGAGAGTCCCCAGGCTTTTAAGAGGATTCCATCTGGAATGCATTGGCCTAATAATTTAGGAATTTTCTAGTAAAGTGTGTGCCCTTTAGGTGGCATTCCTTTTGGTGATACTGCTATTGCCATGTCCTTGGAATTTACTGGAGGTTTAAAACACACGATGAATCTGTGCTTCAGTTTTCTGATCTGAAAAATGGGGATTATAATATTACCCACTTCATAGAATTTTTATAAATATTAAATTGAGATCATATATTTGAATTTTATAAAATATTACTTAGCATGTAAGAAACACTCAGGGCTAGCTGGTGGCATGATATTAAGGTGCTGAATCCCATATAGTTGGCATCATGGTTTGAGTCCTGGACCCAGAGGCTTGAGAAACACACTGGGCACATGTGCATGCATGCCCAAAATCCTAAAAGGAGAAAGGATTGGGGCATGACCATCCCCCATGAGAGTTGCTTCCTCACTTCCTCCTTGTCTCTCTCCAGCGAGTGCACATGCCCCCTAGCAAAATTTAAAAAAAAAAAGAGAGAGAGAAAAAAAAATTTTCAGTTAATGTTGAGAGTAAATATCTTGGTCATCATCATAATTTTTTTAAATTCTAAATTTCTTAATTTTTATCTGCTATTAGAGTGAAAAGTTGAGAAAGCCTTAGGCTAGACTTTTTCTTAAATAAATGTTTTATTTTCTACAGAATAACAAAAATAAGGTGATTAAACTTAGACCTACAAGATTAAAGATAGTTTCTTTTCTTCTCAAAAGACTTTGGAGACTGAGTCTCCAAACATCCTGAGCCGTAGACATCAAGAGAAATGGATGGATGTTAGATAGCTGAGAAAACTTTACATCTCTAGGTTTCTTTTCTGTTCATTTTATAATCTAAATTATGTTTTGATTTCCCTTTCCTAATGGTTCTTTACTCTTCATGGTTCAGCTGACATGGAATTTATGAATATGTTTGCTTTGCCTAGTGAAGGAAATGAGGCCTTGATGTCGCTCTGACTCTCTAAGTATTCCTAGTGTATTTCAGTTAGCGAGTGGGTACTTCTTTGCAGTTCAACTTTTTTCTGCTTGAGAATGTATCTTCTATCCTTGGTCATATTTTTAGATTGCTATGTTTTAAGGTAGATGCAAAATAGGAATACTATGTTAATTTTTAGCATATATAAAATGTGAATTGAGTACCTAAACCGTGGGTTTTTTTTGATTCAACTTTATTGATGTATATTTTCTAGACATGATAAACTTTACCCTATTCAAATGTACAAGTTCATTTACTGAGTGAAAATATCATCACCATAAATTAGCTTTTTATCTTTTGTTTTTGTTTTTTTGTTTTATTCTTTGTCAGTGTGCGTACACATGCCAGAGACAGTGAGGGAAAGTGAGAAATCAGCGCCCCCCATGGGGAATGGGCACACTGCAATTCTTTCAGTTCTTTTGTTTTTTCCATGTTGTTTAACTTTTACCATGTATGTTATTCAACTTATATTTTATTAACTTTAAATTTTTGTTTTTGTCCCATTATCTTTTAAAATTGATTATTAGGTTTTTTTTTTGTTTGTTTGTTTGTTTTTTACATTTAGTTACTGTATATCTTATACAGTATACAAAATGAACTTTCCAGGCATGAATAGATGCAGTGGTCTTTAGGGGTAAGGAAGTACATTGTATATAATACACACTGTAGTTTTTTCTTCTCCATTCTCCTCCTAAGGTTTTGGGCACACATGTACATGTGCCTAGCATGATTTTTTCTTTTTTTTTGGAGAGATTTTCGCTATAGGGCGTGTGCGCTCGCCAGACAGACAGACAGAGACATAGAGACAGAAAGCGAGAAATCACCCCCCAGGGGGGTTGGTCACGCCACAATCCCTTCTCCTCTTGGGATCTTGGGCACGCACGCACATGTGCCGGCGTGAGTTTTAAGCCACCGGGTCTGGGACGTGAACCGCGGTCGACTACGTGGGAGTCCAGCGATATAGCCATTACGCTAACTGCTGGTTCCCCCCAGCATGATTTTTAAGCCACAGGTCGAGGACTCAAATTGTGGTCTGCCATGTGGGAGTCCAGCACCTTAACTATTATGCTACTTGCTGGCCCCCATAAATTAATTTTAAAACATTTTTATTCCCACATAATATTTTTGAGGTTCATTCCTGTTTTAGTATGTTTCAAAGGTAAGTTTGTTTCTTTTTATTGCCGAATAGTATTTGATTGTACGGATATATAACATTTTGACTATCCATTCACAGGCTGATGGATGCTTGTGTTGTTTCAGTATTTGGCTGTTACGAATAATGTTGCTGTGAGCATTCATGTGCAATTCTATTTCATTTCTCCCGGGAGTACATACCTAGGAGTGGAATTGCTAAGTTACATGATAAATTTATATTTGTTTTTTAAAAAAACTGCTAAGCTATTTTCCAAGTGGCTGTATCATTTTACATTCCCACTAGCAATGTATGAGATTCTTTTTTCTACATCTTTGACAACATTTATTACTGTCATCTTTTTTTATTATTACCCATTCTAGTGGGTGTGAAATGGCATCTTATTGGAGTTTGAACTTCCTTAATGATTAATGATGTTGAACATTGTTTTTTTTCTTGAGCTTATATTTAGGCTAAATGTTTATATTTCTCAAGCAATAGATTTTTTTTGTTTCTTTTTTGATGTTCTATGTGCTTTTTTCTACTTTTGAATCCACTGTTATAGTCAACAGTTTGGCAGAGATTAGGCAAAGAAGATACAGAGATTTGCTCTAGGTAGTTTAGTATACTGTATTTTATTGAAGTATTAGCCAGAATATGAGTCTATAATTTCTTTATCTGTGTCATGTCTGAAGCCCTGTTCAAACTTTTTTGTAGTGGTCAGTAGGTAGCATGGTGGTGAAGGTGCTGGACTCCCACATGGCTGACTGTGGTTTGAGTCCCAGACCTGGTAGCTTGCTTTCTCATGTTTTCTCTGTCTCTGTTTCTTTCTGGTGAACATATGTATTGTATAGCAAATTAAAATAATTTCAAATAAAATTAAGTAACTCTTTAAAAAAGAGAAAAAAAACCACACACAGGCCAACAGGTAGATGTTTAGATGCTTTCATTCCATCAAATACCATGCATGCTTATGTTGTCTTGCTCAGTGACAGGGTGTTTTGTTTTACTGTGACCAACCTATTAGGAAATAAGAATTATGTAAGTTTTCTTTCTTGGCTCTTGTTTTTAATCTCCCATAAACTGTGTATGAGTCTTTTTCATTCAGATTATATCACCTGAAGAAGGATTTCATTACTCATGTAGTTTGAGTCAGGGAGTTGAAAAATAATTCTGTGATATAGTCACAGATTTTAGGTCTATTTAGGGCATGCCCATGTTATTTAACTGTTACTTGAGAAAGAAAATCAAAATGGATTTTTGTGTTTTTAGATGTGTTTGTTACAAATGTAACATTTACAAAGCTGTGTGTTTAACAAATGCATTTGAGGTTTATTTGGTGCCAGAAGCTAAAATTTTTAAAATCATTTGAAAAATAGTGAATTTTAATTTTTATTCTTTTGTATGTGTGTACTTTCTGATGATTTCTCTTATTATATTGAACATGAGTCCATAAAATAAATTAGACTAGAAAAATGGTAGATTATTAATAAGTAACTAAAAGTAAGATTTTTTTAAGAGAGATTTTTGCTATAGGGCATAGAGGTTGTTCAGTAAATGTTTGTTGACTGAAATCCTTCTTAGCTAGAATACCCACATTCAAGACTTGTTTTAAGTATTACTAATCATTTTAAATAAAAATGCTACATTTTGAAATTGGCATTTGTTTTACTTTTCATCATCTAGTATTTCGTATTTCCAACCAGTATTTATTTGGTATCTACTGTATGTCAGGTGTTGTGGGATATAGAGGTAAGAAAGACTTCATCCTTGCTCTGAGAGAGCTCAAGAGTTCAGGTGGGAAGAACTTGGTAGAGTTGATTATGGGAGAGTGGGTTTGTGTGAGGTACCCATTGTACCTAGGGTAAGAGTGTAACCCAGCCTGGGGCCTCCAGCAGTTTGAAGGTACCTGGAGAGATTCCGGCAGAATTTTGAAGAATTAGCCTGAGGAGTTAGAGGTAGGGAGATAAAGAGGACAAAGCTCAAAGTAAAAAATTGCTTGGTGTGTATAAAAAAACTACAGCTAGTTCCCCAGTAATATATTTGAAGCCTAGAAGTGGGAGAGAGATGAGGCTAGGAAGTGAATTGGTCTGGATGTCCGTGCCCAGACTAGAAGAAGCTGAGGGATTTTGAGTGCTGTGGTCATGTTTGTGATTACTGCTGGAGGTAGGAAAAGAATTAAGAGGTTCCCTCAGTGATGTTGGTAAGAGGTGATAGCACCGTTGATGACACAGTGACAGAACGGATGGAGGGGAAGTGAGAGGATTGATTTGAACTCTGTAATTAATTCCGCAGGTTTTGGTGAACAGTGGGACTGGTGGGTAGGGAAGAGGGGATGGCCAAGGATGACTCTCACTCAGGCCTTTAGCACAGATATCTTGTGTATATATCCTAATGTAGCCTTAGAGTTGTACGGTCAAACCATGTAAACAAAAGACTAGTCTGTAGAAAGACTGGAAAGTTACAAATGGTGTAGGATAAACTACATACAGTATTATTAGATGGTTTTAAAAATGTACCATCCAACATAATTCTACTATTTAAAGATCTTTCTCTAAACACATCAAAGGGCAGTAGCTAAAGTAATATGTAGCAACTAGAATGAAATAGAAATAGCTTTTATAATTCTTTTCAGTATATACTTTGACTTATAATAGCTAATGGACTTTACAAACAATGCAATTGATGCCAAGCTTTCTAGTTTACTGTTTTTATAAATTAATATGAAAAATTAAAATTAAAATGTTATAAAAACAGTATATTATTGAGATAGAAATTGTTGGAGGTAGATACAGTTTTCTGGGGAGAGAAATAATCTTGAAAATGGCACACAAGGAGTGTGTGAATCAGCAAAGTACATCTTACAGCAGTGCCTTAAAAACTTTTTTTTTTTTTAATTTTTAATTTCACCAGAGGCTATGTGTGCTCACTTGAGTGTGAGGTTAGGGAGGGGATGTGAGACAGCACCCCGTCTTTCCCCATGGAGGATGGGCATGCTGCAGTCCCTTCTCTGTTTCTCCCCCCTCTTGGGGTTTTGGGCTTGCACTGCATGCATGCCTGGTGTGTTTCTCAAGCCACCAGACCCAGGACTCAAACTGCATAGTCATCCATGTAGAATATAGCTGCCTTAACCACCATGCTCAGAAAACTCTTCATGTTAAAAACTGGTAAAGCACTAATTGTTTTTCAGTCACTTGGTTTTGTCTAAGCTCAGTCAATGCATACTCCTGAGAACTGCATACGTGACTTCTTGCTCGTATGGCCTTGGGCTTTGTAGATGAATTAGATATGGCTTTGTCTAAAGTCCAGGTGGAAATCACCAAGTATCTTAATTTTTGTTATAAAAGAGACCCTTCAAACAATAAAACCCAACTATCCACACAGACCAGAAAAATTAGGATAGAGGAAGGTGTTTTATATGCAGATGAAGAATTATTTTTCAACTCTTCTTTTTTCTCCTTTCTTTAAGGGAGGAAAAATGTTTGCTGTAGCAAAAGACACATCACCTTTTCTTCCTGCAGTATAAGCATTTTTCTTACCAACTATTCCCCTTCTCTTGTAATGCGGATGGATGTTTTTCCCCATGGGAAGTAGCAGGTCGTTTGTGAGATAGTTTAGCTCTGAGAAGAACAGCTTCTTTGTAGATCACGTCAGAGATAATCTCCAGGGAAGTGTGCAGTTAAATGTACATCACTATCATTATTTCGTTCCTCCCAGGGTTTGTGTTCGTAAACGAATTTTGTGTAATTATAGATTCCCATAGGCCTTTCTGATAGCTTATGGTCGCTGGCAGTGCATTGTATCTGGGAAAGAAATGAGCTTTCAGGAAACTTTGCGGCCATTGTGTTGTTTTTTTAACTGGAGATGCTGGATCAAGGTGAAGTTGATGGGCGGTGGCCTCATTTTCATGCTTCTTTTACCTTTAAAAGTTGATGAATTTCTAAAACAATTCTTTTTGCTAAGGTTGTCCCATGGTACTTAACATTATTCTTGGACTGCCCTTTTAGTTTTTTTTTTTTTAAAGATTATTTTTTTATTTAACTTCATTTATTTATTTTTAAAATTTGACCAGAGACGGTCAGAGTGAGAGAGCAAGAGAGTGAGAAAGCAAGCTGTCAGGTCCACGACTTGTACTGCAGCTGACTACGTGGGAGTCCAGTGCCTTTAGCCACCTCCTGCCCCTAGCTTCTTGTTTTTTAAAAATGTATTTATTTATTCAGAGGCAGAGAGAGACGAGCAGACAGGCACCCTTGGTAGGGTCTTCATGCTGCAGTCATTCCAGTCTCAACCAGTCTGGATCACAGACAGACGTGCGTACACACCTTGTGTTCTCATGGAGGTCCCGGGACATGAACTCAGGACCTTTCCCATATAGGATCCGTTGTATTACTGTTTTGAGCTGTCTGGCCCTGTCTGTCCTTTCATTATTTATTTATTTATTAATATTTCTTTTTTTTTCTTAAATTTTTTTTTGAGAGTTTTTTTTTTTGGCTATAGGGTGCATGTGCTCGCCAGACAGACAGAGAAAGAGAGATAGAAAGCGAGAAATCACCCCCCAGGGAGGATGGCCACGCCGCAATCCCTTCTCCTCCATTCTCCTCTCGGGATCTTGGGCACGCACGCACACGCGCCCGGCGTGAGGTTAAGCCACCGCATCCGAGACTCGAGCCGCGGTCGACTACATGGGAGTCCAGTGACATAGCCGTTACGCTAACTGCTGGTCCCTGTTTATTAATATTTCTAGAGGGTGCATGTGCTTACAGGAGAGAGAGAGCGCGTGCATGAGAGCGAGCGAGAGCACTGCCCATGAAATATGGTCATGCCACAATCCCTTCTCCATCCTCCTTTTATTGGGATTTTGGGCACATATGCACATGTGCCTGGCATATTTCTCAAGCCTCTGTGTCTGGGATTTGAACTGCTCAATTGTCTATGTGGGAGCCATCCACCTTAACCACCACCCCACGAGCTGACCCTTTTATTATTACGTTTCAAATTTTGAGAGGGCATGTGAGGGAGAATGAGGAAGAAGCACCATGTGGTTTCCAGAACTGTAGTCTAATAATACACTACAGATTGTGCCATGTAGGCTGGGTGGCTCTACCCTTTTAGCTTTTAATTAAAGTTTTCATTCTCCATCATCCATTGCTCGTGTCTTCTTATATCGTAGGTCATTTTATATTGTCCACACGTAGGACACCTGCTTCCTCCTCTCAAGTCCCCTTGATTTAGGGGTCATCCCTTCTCTTTTCTGCATTTCTTTCTGTTTTTCTGTGTCTTTCCATAAGTGGGCTGTGTGCCACTTTTTAGCAGACAGTGATGTCGAAGGGTACCTGGCTTTAGTAGTAAGTGTTTTTTTTATAAAAATGGATGCAGGTTGAAGTTACTGCACATGACAAACAGCAACTGAATTTGTAACAGCCTTTGCCAGTGACTAACCCTTTTGTGATCCCTCTTTTGCCTTAACATTCCCTTAGCATCTTGCGTAACATATTTTTCTCATTGTTACCTGAGTGAAGGTTGGGATCTTCCACTCAGGATTGAGCCTCTCTGTTGGGGACAGGCCAAGCAGTCTCCCCCACCCCAACCCCCGGCCCCGCGGGTGTCTGTGCCTCATGAACAAATGATGGGAACCAGGTAAGTCCTTTTCAGCAAGTGCTCATTGACACTGGCAAATGGTGTTTACCATTGTTACTTTTCTAGTCAGGTCTAGAATTCTATAAAGAAAACTGCTCAAAAGCATGGACAGGGCCAGCAGGTAGCATGGACATTAAAGCGCTGGATCCCACATGGCTGGCTGCATGAGTTCGAGTCCCAGACACAGCGCCTTGAAAATCATGCTGGGTGCGTGTGCGTATGTGCCCAAAATCTCAGGAGGAGAATGGAAGAAAAGGGACTGCAGCATGACCATCCCCCCTGGGGAGTGACTTCCCACTTTCCCTCCCTCTCTTTATCTTAGTTTCTCTCTCTGGCGAGCGCATATGCCCTATAGCACACACACACACACACATACACACACACACACACACACACACCCAAACCCACTATAAAACTTAAAAAATAAAAAGGTGGACCGCATCAGGTACTGGTCCTGTGGCCAGGTGTTACAGTTCATGGAGCTGGACACATGGCATTGTTTGTTGTGGTGAAGTGATTTTCGGCCTCAAGGGCTAATAGTGTATTTTATGATTTGTTCAAGTAAGCCTTGGGAGAGGTAGGGGAGTGTTTTAAGCTGTTAGAAGTGGCTGGTCATGTTTCCTACTGAATACAGTGAGTGGCAGAGAACTGGCTCTGTCTACCTTGGCCTCGGATTTCCATCACAGTGTCTTGCTGTAATGTCTCTCTTCCTCCTCTGTGTTATAGGTGAGATGAGTGAGAGCCGGGCAAAGAGAGTTCGAATAAAAGAAGTGGATGGCTGGACCCTGAGGATGCTGATTGATTATGTTTACACTGCAGAAATTCAAGTTACAGAAGAAAACGTACAGGTAAGAGTAAATACTTCCTATCATTTAGCCCTTTATAACATGCAGTATCTTAAAACAAAAAAGCATGCCCACACAGTATACATTTTGTACTAAAGTAACAGGATTCATTTAAAATTGCATTTCTAAGGAACAATTGTTTCTCATGATGGCATCTTTTTAATAGTTTTTGACTTCAATATCTTTTATATTCTTAAAGATCTAAGATACAGATCTTGTAGTTCTCTGGATGATGCTTGTTCTTTCATGGAAACACTGTCATATTCATTTCAAACTGCTGATTGAAGCTGCCTACAGTTTTTCTTTATTCCTTTAAGGACAAAGTCTACAAAGGATTTTTTTTTTTTTTTTTTTTTACTTTTAACAGCCTTTACTTCTTTTACTAGTTTAACAGTCTCTTGAAGTGATCCTCGAGTTTAGCTATAAATTGACATTACATCTTTTTTTTCTATAAAGAACTTTGTTATAAATATGTTATATTCATGTTTAGATAATGCAGATGGATATGGAGTAAGAAGTGAAAGTCTCTTTAAAACTGTCCTTCTTTTTAATCTACTCTAAATTACACACATTGATCAAAAAGTAGCTTCTGTTACCTGTTTTTTTTGGTATGAATACTCTCAGGTCATTTTCTGTGCATTCAATCACATTTACATGTATACATGCACACACATACACAGTTTTCTTTTTTCACATAAGTCATTTATATTGTACTTGTCCTGTAACTTGCTTTTTTCACTGAGCGAAAGTGTCTTGGAGATCTTTACATATCAATACATATTTAGAGTTAGTGGATCAAAGTGACATGCATATCCTAATTTTCGATGGTAACACCACGTAGATACCACAGTTTTGGATCTGACACTTGAACCACGGTCAGCCACATGGTAGTCTAGTGATGTAACCACCATGCCACTTGCTGGCCTGTTTTGTTTATATTTTTAAGCATAGTTTTCAAGGTTGGGATTTTGATCTTTTTTTTCTGGCAAAGTTGGAAGATAATTTGAGCTAAGTGAATTTATAGTTTTAGTTTTTAAAAGAGATAAAAGGAGAACATATTTTACCATGACCAGGCTTTTAATACAACTCTTTTGCTGTAGCTGTTGAGTGACTTTTGTCTAGTTTGCTTATGTCTAGAGTTTTCAAGGAAAGTATATAAACCTGGGGAATAGAGAAATTAAAGCCAAACACTGCTATAAAGTGTTAAAACTTTTGGACATCTTGGAGGATCTGAGGAAAAATGTAGACCTTTTTGAAGGAAAGGGCACATAAGTATGTATACATAGTGCTTTCCATACACTGTCAGATAATCTGCGTGCCTTGTTTTCAGCTTTTCCTCTACTACCTTCCTCCTTCCTTTGTACTGTTAAGAATATTTGGCTTTAGATGTCATTGATATAGAGACTGGACGTTGGTGCGGCATCTTCAAGGCTGACCTACATGAAAAGTTTCCAGATTTGCATCGGGGACCACCTTGAGTGTATTGGGGTTGTCTGACCTGGGACAGGTTGGGGCTTGGGGGTGGTAGATTGAGGTATCCTATCAGATATGTATATCACCATATAAGATAGGTATTATTCCCCATTTGCGGTTGAAGAACTAGGCTCAGGAAGGCGAAGTAATTTTTTTCAACATCACATCCCAGCTATAAAGTTGTCATTAACTAGTATTACTTATAAAAAGAGTTTATAAATTTGAAACTATAAATACCTTCATAACTGAAAAAAACTTCTTCCAGTATGTAAATTATTCAAGACATATGTTTCTTCATTCAATGTGTTTGTTAGCGTTTTCAGAGAATCTTTAAGGATCTTGACTTTTTTAAAGCATTTACTTCTTTGCTAAATTTGTAGTTTTGTTATGCACATTTTTATTTCTCAGCTTTTGGACATTTGTTTTGGCTTGCTAAAAGTAGGTAAGAATTTTTCACTTGATGTAAGTGTGAAAAACAAAGGGATGTTAACAGTGTCAATGTAAGTAAATGCTCTCATTTTCTAACTAATATTATGGGTGTTCATCTTCAGGTTTTGTGTGTATTAGAGCTTTTATCATCTCAGAAGAATTTAAGAAACAGCTGATAGTATTGAATGGATAGATTTTAAATAGTGCTTGAAACTTATATATTACATAGATTGGAATTATCCGAAACAGAAGCATCTCATGTCTTCAGTGATGGAATGGAATTTATTTATTTGTTGTCGAATTCTTCCAACATAGCCAGAAATTGGTATTCTTTTTCTTGTTTTTAATTTACAATTTTTTAATATAACAATTGTTACAATGTGATTTTTGGGGGGCGGGCTATAAATACAATGCATAATTACTACATCTGGATAATGGTCATCACCTCAGCCATTTTGAAATAAGAGAATGAATGTAAGTTTTCCAAGAGACATTTAAAATCAGTTATTGGTAATAAACACATTGAATGTTTAATGATCTCAGTGCAGTAGAAAATTCATCTTAGTGTGTTCATTTCATTGGTAGGGTATGGCAGGTTCTTTTTGTTTTGCTCGGAAGCAGAAGTGCCAGGAGTATGCTCACGTGGTGTTTCACCCATGTGATGTTCCTAAGAGGAAGGTGTCCCCTGGAAAGACTTACATAGTTCCAGGCCTGTTGGCATCCTTGAAACATGTTTTAAGTTGGCTGAACAAACAAGAGGTTGTTCAAGTGGAGAAATGATCAAAAGAGAATATGTTTTTTGTTTTTCATAAGAGGATTTATTTGTTTATTTATTTATTTATTTATTTATTTTTTGGCCTTAGGACACGTGTGCTGGCTGGAGAGAGTGAGACAGTGAGAGGGAAAGCAAGAAATCATCCTCCCCCCGGGATAGATGGCCACCCCACAATCCCTTTTCCTCCATTCTCCTCTGGGGGTCTTGGGCATTCACACACACACGTCCAGTGGTGTCTGGGACTGTAACGGTCATCCAGCAGCATAACCACTACACCATCTGTTGGCCCCCCATACATACTTTATTTTAACCTGAAACATGTAAATATACAGTGTGTGCCATTATATATCATTTTAAAACTAAGAGAGTTGGTTGGGAAGCCACATGCCAGATCTTGCACAAACTATATCATAATCATGCATCATCCATACTATTCCATTTTTTTCTTTTAAACTGCACCAAAAAATGAGACACTTCAAAAGAAAGCTCAGTGCAGAGTCGTCTTTGAATAATACAATTTCTCTTTTTTGTTCCTCCCACATTTCATTTGACAGAAAATTTTATTTTTGTCAGATCCGTGTAAAGCAGTCAGCTTAGCTTTCATAGATGGAACTTTTCACACTCACGTTTCATTGGACTGTATGTATTTGTTTAAGTTACGTGATTTCTACAACAAGGGCAAGTGTCATAAAGAGGTGGGAGCAAATCCAACAAGTGTGAACCGATAAAGTGCAGAGCAGCTGGAGGAGCAGAGGTTAAGTGGAGGTCTTTTACTCCGCGTGTTTCTGTGCAGTATAGGTGGATATTGAAACGAAATTCCCATTAGATAGATACTTGTTTTTTCTTTTTTTAAGAGAGATTTTTTCTGTAGGGTGCCTGTGCTCGCCAAAAGGACAGAAAGGGACAGAGAGATAGAGATAGAAAGACAGAAAGCGTGAAATCACCTTGGGCGTGGGGTGGGGGAGGTGGCCGTGTTGCAATCCCTTATTTATTCTCAGGATTTTGGGCATGTACACATATGTGTCTGGCGTGAGGTTTAAGCCGCTGGGTCTGGGACTCGAACCATGGTTGGACTATGTGGGAGTCTATTGACATAACCACTACTCTGTCAGCTGGTCCCAATGGACCTTTGTTTTAAAAGTGTTTTAAAAGTAAATAGGCATTGAGGATGTTATCTGCTAAGTACTTGGTCCTGATGTTGCTACAAATGTTGAACAAGAAATAGAACATAAAAAAAAAAAATAGAATATATACTTAGATTGGACTTTTGCTTTGCTCTTTAAATTCCATGTGACCTTGTTCACATAGCGAAACCTCTCTGAGCTTTTTTTCTTGGCAATAAAAGGGGAATAATGCTGTTCTTTCTTTTCTTATGTAAGAGATTGTGGAACATCAGTCATTAGATAACTGGTGTATGTAGGGGCGTGATATGCCAGACTCTCACTGAAGGCCTGGTTGAGATTGGAACTTGAGCCAGAAGTGAATAGAGGTGGGAATAGGAGCACAGACTTGAGGAAGCAAGTTTAAGTATTTCTTAAATGGGGTGGGGGAGGCAGTGTGGTGGCATGCAGTCCAATTTACAATGTTAAAGGGTAAGTTCAAATTTCGGTCTGAATGACAGGCTTCAGGCAGCATGGCAGCAGGAGTGTCGTGATGCCAGTGGTGGGTGACTATGCCTAGTGTTAGGCTGATGGCAGTGTCTGTGACCCAGGAGGCGCTTCCTTGGTGAACAGTGACTCAAGCCTGTAGCTCTGATGTTGTATTTTATCAGGAAGGAGACTTGGTGAGGGCTTGGCAATTGTAATGCCCACAGATAATTAAGTCTGGGATTGTGCAAACTATTTCCACAAGGAACTGGACTGCAGACCTATGATCTGAGGCTTGGCCTATGGGGCCTTTGGACTCACGTTGTAGCTGGATACACGCGAAGGTGCTTCTGAGGCTTGGCCTATGGGGCCTTTGGACTCAACGTAGCTGGATACACGCGAAGGTGCTGAGGCGAGTATACCATGTTTTGGACAGTAAGATTAATGCCAGAACACTGATAAGGTACCTAATAAACTTTCAGTCTTGGTCAAGGTTATTTTAGGACTGAATTGTATAGAACTTGAAGATCTAAGGTATTTAAGATCTGTAGTTGGACCAGGCCAGATCAGGGAAGGATTAATAACTATTTTACTTCTTATATATGGCATGCCCTTTCTCTTTCCTACTTCTAAGCTATTGAGCTCGCCTATTTTTCTGTTGCTAGTATTGATCCTGGTGAGTTTCAGTTTTCAGTCAGTAGTTCGTTAGCTATTTTTGGAGCTTTTATTCTGTGTGAGGT